TATCGTGTCCGTAGGCGAAATGTCGAGGTGGCATTTGCGGTGAGGAAGTGTTCAGTCGCGGGCAGTTTTTGAGGCCTGCGTTCCTCGAATGGTGTCTAGCATCCCATCAGCCAAATAATTTCGTCCAGGCCAATGGGGGAAGAGGGCCGACCCTTTTGCTGTGGTGGCAGAACACCTGGCAATCGCAGCAGCCACCTTCCTTCTGCATCCCGACCTTCACACATTGCCCTCCAGGCCTGTTGCAGACGTATCAACGCTTTCCAGCACATACCTCGTGCATATCTATTGCATCGCGACCGTCGTAGGTGTTGCGACCCGCTGGAGGCTCAGCGACGCTCGCCACAGCCGATACAGCCCTACTGTCTTCGTCCCTACTGAAGCCGATCGCAAGGACAATACCGACCGCGCCAGTAATCAAATCTTAAACACCTGCATTATCTGCTCTATGGGCGTGTTGTGTTTGCTGCCATAGCAAGGTTCGCCCTGCCAAGTCTCTCTGACTTGTGACTTAGGAAGGTTATTACTGTAACGCCTCACAGGTTGAACGACCGTAACAATCGGAGCTAGGTTATTCGAAGAAGCCAGTATACCGGTGCATTTCCACCTATGTATGAGCCGCGACATACTGGAGCTTCGCGGACACTAAAGTCAGTAGTTGAAATAACACACAGTCAGGGAGATAATGAAGGCCTCCCTGCGGAGGACAAGACCTAAACCGACGAGGCTGTACGTGACGCCTTTATGGCAGGTGATACGACGACATTCATTAGAGTTATAGACAATATTTTTTGCTCTTTTTGCGACTCCGACAAGGGGTACATGAAAGCACATGTGTTACAACCGGAGGTATAGCTGGATCCCTGAACAAGGTTTTTTTTTTAACACGAAACCGACTACTGAAGAGTTTCCTTTCCTTTCAGAAGCCGTGAGTGACGAGCTCCTAGTAACACCGGTCACCCCTTAGTTTTTTGTATCTGGACGTGATTTCCTCGAAGACAACAGCAAAGTTATATGTATCCGGAGGAGACACCTTGTTTTAGGTTCACGTGTTGCCCCTATTCTATTCTGATCCATTTCGGATGACCTCGGCTACGTCCATAACGTCGCGCTTTCAGCCGCTGCTTTGGAATCCCCTCATTTTAATGACATAATTCTCTCCCCATCGACAGTAGGACCCGTTGCCCATAAACAACTACGTGACCTTCTAACTTCAGTTCTTGACTTTTTTTATCTGGCCTACGAGTAATAACGGTCGTGCAACACACTATCAACAGGGGAGACACCAAACTAGTTTGACAACCCCCTTGACGTATCCCAGTCCGTAACCGCGATGAAGTTGACAAGCTCATCGACGAACTATTGAATGCCAAGATCACCCAAATGTCCTCTTCCCCTTGGACTTCACCTATTGCCTTAGTCCCCAAAAAATAGTTTGCTACGCTTATGTGTCGTCTATTGTAGCCTAAATGCCATGACGGTAGGGGATTCGTTCCGGCCTCCCCGGTTGGGCTACACATTGGATGCACTAGGTCAGGCAGAATGGTTTTCAACCCTTGACCTCAAGTCTGGTTACTGACAGTCCAAAATAAACCTGAGAGACCGCAGTAGGATAGCTCTCAAAGTACCCCAGGGGTTGTTCGGGTTTCAACACTTATCATTCGGTTTGCGTAGTGCTGCAGCCACCTTCTAACGGCTAATGTACCGTGTCGTCCACCATCTCATTCCATATATGTGCCTCGTCTACCTAGGCGGCATAATTGTGCTCGGCCGTTCTGCCGAAGAACATAATGAAGATTTATGTGAAGTGTTAGACGCACGTCGTGGTGCCACTAAGCGTCTTTTTTGCGGTCTGAAGTACAGTTCCTAGATCACCTTATTTCTCAAGACGTATTTCACCCCTGCCTGACCGAGTCAAACACATCAGTTTTGGGCCGACTCCGACCAACTAAACAGAATTACGAAGTTTTCTCCGCCTGGCGTCATATTATTGGCGTCTTATTCGGAATTTCGTCCGGATCTCTGGCCCTCTTCATAAACTTACTGAAAAAGGCCGCTCACACACATTGTTCACCAAGCGCGACAGTGCCTTCAATGACCTGCGAGCAACACTATGTTTGGTTCACTTGTAGTCTTATCCAATGCAGATGACGACGCCCCTCCTTTCATACTGGACACTGACGCTAGCGGTTTTGCCATCGGTGTCGTCCCGTATTAAACCGGTAAGGATGGAGGGAACACCAGATTAGCTTCGTCAGTACTATCCTTATCAAAACCCAGCGAGACTATTCTGCCATTCTCTGGGAATTGTTGGTTGTCGTCGTGTTTCTGCGTCAGTTCAGACGCTTGCTCGTGAGCAGATGATTAATTTTGCGTACGGGCCATCGACTCCTACAGTGTTTACTTTCTACTAGGGGTCCTATGGATGAACTAACCCGTTGACATGAGTCCTTACAGGATTTCAACTTCGGATGCCCATTCCGTCCTGGTCACAAACAGGATAACGCGGACGTACCTTCCTGCTCACCCCGATAGACACTCCAGAGGGCGACCTACATACCGCGAACGTTAACGCTATCGTTGTATCCGAACCCACCCGCTACTTCCGGTCTTCGGCCCAGAGCACTGACCCTGATGCCGCTATCATTTATCAACATTTGACCCGAGGGCTATCTAAACCCGCGGGTCAAGCTAAAATGCACGCCTATTGTCGAATCATTGGCCTCACCTAGTCCTCATGCGCGATTTACTCTTATTCCGCGATCCTTCATCCCACCACTTGCCACTCATCCGGGGTCATGCATCAAATCGGCCATCACATTAGATACCACAACCTTTCACATCCACGAGGAACCTCCAAAAAATTCCGTTACCTTTGGCAACGATAATCCGTTCTAGATGTCTCTTCCACAACGACCCCTACGCTAACATGTAGTTATGTAGCCCCACCTGATGGGCACAATACAGTTGGCGTTGGTGTTAGGGTTAGGGGTTATGGTTAGGGGTTAGAGGCTAGGGGCTAGGGCAACTATTTCTCAACGACTCAAAGTACAGCCGTGCATTCCCAATAGCTTTTCTTTTGCATATAACTATTTGACCTCGTCGCCTGTGCGTTCCCCCATCCCACCTGTAAAAATCCCCATTACCACCAGTCCCGTATTACAGGTGGCTGGGGTTTGTTTACTTCAGGTGGGGCTACATAACCACATCTGATCGACCCTACTTCTCCATGACGCCGAACACCCCAACACACATCTTTACGGCACATTTTGACGATCATAAACCCAGCCGTGGCCAGCTCCCAGTTTGTTCCCCCAACTCATAACCTTTCCTTCTTGCAGACCAGGTCCCCCCCCCACTTTATGACGATTCCGGCACTGAAAGCAGTGCTGCACCTTGAGAGGGGGGCTATGTAACAACTGGAGGTCCAGCCGGATCCCAGACCCAGGTCGTTTAAAACGAAACTGACTTCTGAGCTCCCTTTCCTTTCAGAAACCATGCTTCCGGGGTCGCAGGTCAACGGTTATACTTCGACAGATTCCCGGTAAGTCGCATTTACTAGCTTTCTTACCCTTTTACATCGGTTTTCCGTTATTTTTTACATCTGTTTATCCGTTACTGAACTAGACTACTTCCACTTTCTATCCATCTTATATTATGTGATTTATACCCAAGACACCAGATTCAGTACGTGTTGAGATTCATGAGCTTTTAGAAAATATCCTCGAAGAGCCCTCACCAGCTGAG